GCATGTACAAACCATGACACTAGTATCAACACGTACCAGTGATACTAGTATCACAGTACCAGTGACACTAGTATCACAGTACCATGACCACTATATCAGCAGTACCAGTGACACTAGTATCAAGCAGTACCAGTGATACTAATACCAAGCAGTACCAGTGAACACTAGTATCAGCAGTACCAGTGACACTAGTATCAGCAGTACCAGTGACACTAGTATCAGCAGTACCAGTGACACTAGTATCAGCAGTACCAGTGACACTAGTATCAGCAGTACCAGTGACACTAGTATCAGCAGTACCAGTGACACTAGTATCAGCAGTACCAGTGACACTAGTATCAGCAGTACCAGTGACACTAGTATCAGCAGTACCAGTGATACTAATACCAGCAGTACCAGTAACACTAATACCAGCAGTGCCAGTGACACTAGTATCAGCAGTACCAGTGTTAACTAATACCAGCAGTGCCAGTGACACTAGTATCAGCAGTACCAGTAACACTAATACCAGCAGTACCAGTAACACTAGTATCAGCAGTACCAGTGTTACTAATACCAGCAGTACCAGTAACACTAATACCAGCAGTACCAGTGACACTAGTATCAGCAGTACAAGTAACACTAATACCAGCAGTACCAGTGACACTAGTATCAGCAGTACCAGTAACACTAACACCAGCAGTACCAGTGATACTAGAACCAGCTCTACCAGTGACATTAGTATCAGCAGTACCAGTGATACTAGTACCAGCAGTATCAGTAACACTAATACCAGCAGTACCAGTGACACTAGTTTCAGCAGTACTAGTGATACTAGTACCAGCAGTACCAGTAACACTAATACCAGCAGTACCAGTGATACTAGAAACAGCAGTACCAGTGATACTAGTACCAGCAGTACCAGTGATATTAGTACCAGCAGTACCAGTGATACTAGTACCATCAGTACCAGTATTACTAGTATTTACCTAATTGTACTCACCTAATTGTTGTTGCAGGGGTCGAGACTCAGCTCTTGGCCCCGCCTCTTCACTGATCGCTACTAGGTCCTCTCTCTCTCTGCTTCCTGAGCTTTGTCATACCTCGTCTTAAAGCTATGTATGGTTCCTGCCTCCGCTACCTCACTTGCTAGACTATTCCACTTCCTGACGACTCTGTGACTGAAGAAATACTTCCTAACATCCCTTTGACTCGTTTGAGTCTTCAGCTTCCAATTGTGTCCCCTTGTTTCTGTGTTCCATCTCTGGAACATCCTGTCTCTGTCCACCTTGTCTATTCCACGCAGTATTTTGTATGTTGTTATCATGTCTCCCCTGACCCTCCTGACCTTCAATGTCGTCAGTCCGATTTCCCTCAGCAGTTCAGTAGTACCAGTGACACTAGTGCCAGCAGTACCAGTGACACTAGTGCCAGCAGTACCACGTGACACTATCAGCATACATGACACATGCCAGAAGCACTACATCACTCATGAAAAAATCAACATATATTTCATATATATATATATATAATATATATATATATATATATATATAATATATATATAATATATATATATATGCAATAAGGTCACAGTAAACAGGTGATTTCAGAATATGCAAAACAACCACTGTGAAAAACTAGAGAATTTCCAAGCGCTTTCGTGACTACTCACATTATCAAGGAACTATGAAAGTAAAGCATCCAAGGAAGGTATATAAGGGATCTGGCCAACACCTCACTATCAGATCCCACAACAGTTAAACACCTGACGCGCGCCGGCCCAACTGGACAGGTCCTTTGCACAACTCACCCACAACCCGAAACTCTCTCCAGGTAAACTCCAGGTAAACTATTCTACCCAAGAAAATTTTAAAAATTATTATTTGTCCAGTGTATTATTAAATTCTTCCCAAATTCTATTAATTATAAATGGATCTAATTTATATAAACCAAAGGAAATATTCATATTATTGTCAAAACTGCTTTTTATGAAACAAGATTCAATTATATTCCTGTCGATGTGGTTGATATGCCTTCTCTTCTTAAGACTTTTAATATTAAAGTTGTATTCAAAAATCTTGATACAGTAAAAAAAAAACTTTTGATAAAGAATTCCCCCCAAAATGCTGATGGATGTGTCTATAAGATTCCTTGTAAAATTTGCGACAAAGTTTATTACGGTCAAACTGGTAAAAATCTCGAACTAAGATTAAAACAACATAAATATAGCATTAGAACTGGACAAGATTCCAATGCTCTATTTATTCATGTAAGAGATTTTGACCATCCAATTGATTTTCAAAAAGTTGAGAAAGTAGTATCAAGCAAGTCCATGGTCGACAGGAATATAATTGAATCTTGTTTCATAAAAAGCAGTTTCGACAATAATATGAATATTTCCTTTGGTTTATATAAATTAGATCCATTTATAATTAATAGAATTTGGGAAGAATTTAATAATACACTGGACAAATAATAATTTTTAAATTTTCTTGGGTAGAATATGTTTGTTGGGTGAGTTGTGCAAAGGACCTGTCCAGTTGGGTCGGCGCGCGTCAGGTGTTTAACCGTTGTGGGATCTGATAGTGAGGTGTTGGCCAGACCCCTTATATAGCTTCCTTGAATGCTTTACTTTCATAGTTCCTTGATAATGTGAGTAGTCACGAAAGCGCTTGGAATTTCTCTAGTCTTTCACAGTGGTTGTTTTGCATATTTTGAAATCACCTGTTTACTGTGATCTTATATGCATATATATTATATATATATATATATATATAATATATATATAATATATTATATATATATATATATATATATATATATATAAATATATATATATATAAGAAAGTATGTATGTATATATAAACACTGTAAGCTGCTTTTCCCTTCCTCGAATCAAACCTAATTACCTCACCCTTTCATTCCCAAAAATGCTTAATGATTCACATATCTTTGCCGCTTTTCCATGTATTTAATAATAATAATAATAATAATAATAATAATAATAATAATAATAATAATAATAATAATATATATAAAAAGCATGAAATATCCTTCACTATCGAAAATTTTATCAATGAACTGTTTTACAAATTACTTAAAACTTAATACAAAAAAAAACTGTAAGAAAAATGTTGGTCATTGTGTGGTGGAACGAGAGTTTGGAAGATCATAAAATACCACCATTAAGTTGTTTACTAACATATTGTTTTAATAAGCGGGTTGGCGGTAGGTAGGTGGGCAAGCAGGCAGGTGGGCAAGCAGGCAGGTGGGCAAGCAGGTAGGTGGGCAAGCAGGTAGGTGGGCAAGCAGGCAGGTGGGCAAGCAGGTAGGTGGGCAAGCAGGTAGGTGGGCAAGCAGGTAGGTGGGCAAGCAGGCAGGTGGGCAAGCAGGTAGGTGGGCAAGCAGGCAGGTGGGCAAGCAAGCAGGTGGGCAAGCAGGCAAGTGGGCAAGCAGGCAGGTGGGCAAGCAGGTAGGTGGCAAGCAGGCAGGTGGGCAAGCAGGCAGGTGGGCAAGCAGGTAGGTGGGCAAGCAGGTAGGTGGGCAAGCAGGCAGGTGGGCAAGCAGGCAGGTGGGCAAGCAGGTAGGTGGGCAAGCAGGTAGGTGGGCAAGCAGGCAGGTGGGCAAGCAAGCAGGTGGGCAAGCAGGCAGGTGGGCAAGCAGGCAGGTGGGCAAGCAGGCAGGTGGGCAAGCAGGCAGGTGGGCAAGCAGGCAGGTGGGCAAGCAGTATGTGGGCAAGCAGGCAGGTGGGGCAAGCAAGCAGGTGGGCAAGCAGGCAGGTGGGCAAGCAGGCAGGTGGGCAGCAGGTGGGGGCAAGCAGGCAGGTGGCAAGCAAGCAGGTGGGCAAGCAGGCAAGTGGGCAAGCAGGCAGGTGGGCAAGCAAGCAGGTGGGCAAGCAGGCATGTGGGCAAGCAGGCAGGTGGGCAAGAAAGCAGGTGGACAAGCAGGCATGTGGGCAAGCAGGCAGGTGGGCAAGCAGGCAGGTGGGCAAGCAGAGCAAGGTGGGCAAGCAGGCATGGTGGGCAAGCAGGCAGGTGGCAAGCAGGCAGGTAGGCAAGCAGGCAGGTGGGCAAGCAGGCAGGTAGGCAAGCAGGCAGGTGGGCAAGCAGGCAGGTGGGCAAGCAGGCAGGTGGGCAAGCAGGCAGGTGGGCAAGCAGGAGGTGGCAAGCAGGAGGTGGGCAAGCAGGCAGGTGGGCAAGCAGGCAGGTGGGCAAGCAGGTAGGTGGCAAGCAGGCAGGTGGCAAGCAGAGGTGGGCAAGCAGGCAGGTGGGCAAGCAGGTAGGTGGCAAGCAGGCAGGTGGGCAAGCGTCAGGTGGGCAAGCAGGCAGGTGGGCAAGCAGGTAGGTGTGCAAGCAGGCAGGTGGGCAAGCAGGCAGGTGGGCAAGCAGGAGGTGGGCAAGCAGGCAGGTGGCAAGCAGGCAGGTGTGCAAGCAGGCAGGGAGCAACAGATAGTGGGCACAGGAGGAGGTTGCCCAACAGGTTCAGTGGGCAAGCAGGCCAGCGTGGGTCAAGCATGCAGGTGGGCAAGCAGGTAGTGGGCAAAGCAGGTAGGTTGGCAAGCAAGGTAGGTGGGCAAGAATGGCAAGTTGTATGAAAGGATCTATCATGTATATGTGAGTGGTCATCTCAGGTGTATAAATGGTGCTCATCTCAGTGTATGTGAGATGTCCTGCGCAACGAAAGTCAGTAATTAGATGATGAAGTCTGAGGACCATCGGTTTAGTCCACTGTCATGTTTCAAAATGTTCCTCAATAAGTCTTTCTAAAATAGTAAATTGCTCTGTCTTATACAATAGAAATTTAGACATAGCAACTGCAATTTTCTATACAACCATCTCCTTGTGGTATCATTTATTAGTTATGGCTGCCTGTTAAACAGTGGTGGCCTACATTTTTAGGGCCCTGGCGCTTGAAAGTGTTATGGGAGCACCCCTTCGAAACCCTTCTCATGCAGCAACCCAAAGCATGTGGACTAAAGTGGCTTCTGGTCCCCTACCGGTTTTAGGGGACCCGGAAGCTTAAGGCTTCATTACTTTCATAGTAGATCGTCCCTGACGGAAGATTATCCAGCTTAAATTATACAACATAACCAATAAAAGGACGCTTGGAGAAACCATAAAGGTAAAATTAAATATTGATGAATCATTAATAAACATATTCGAACTTGTAATATATAATAGACCTGATAATCCGCCAGTTTAAGTTCAGTCACCGTCGAGGCATCTTAGGCTTGTTTGGGCGAGCGGTCAAAAAACAATGGTGCTTCCAGAAAAGTGAAGTGATGGAATCAACAAGCAAGTGAAGCAGAGAAGAATAACATCCACACATCTGCAGGAGAATATCTTCTGTATAATATCCATTTATGGTTGTTGAAACGGAAATACTATCAATCGTGACTTAGAAAATAACAACTGAATCACTTTCAATGAGCTGTATTCTTCATTTTCAGGTTTCATTTTCAGCCTGTAGTATTATCAAGGGAAAAAACAGAGAGGCTATGATGGCTTTGATTTAAGACCATCAATCAATCAATCAAAGTTTATTCTCTATAAAGAATAATTTCCACTCGAACATTCAACACAAAGTGCTCTCCATTTCTTAATTAAGTATCCACGAAGAGAGAGTCTTAAATGGTTGTCAGACTTTATTTTATTTTTTCTTCCTCTAATTTTTCGTTATTATTACACTAAGAACTCGAGAAGACTTCATCCAGAGTACATTGACGATTTGGCTCACAAAGTTGAGAGAGCACATCTGGGCAAGACTATGGTCTCAGACGTTATTTACCATCAAATATGCAACACAAACCTTACAACATGACAACTGATTCCCATAACCCACCAGTCCACAAAACATTCTACAAGAAATCAAACTCTGCCCTTCTCACTGTTTTTTTGAAATGGGAAAATAAATTCAAGAGAGTGGCAAAAACGTTTTTGACTAAAAAAATATGGGTTTTTTTTAAAACAATTTAGCATATTTTCTCTATTTAATTCCCCATATTCGTGAAAACTTTAAATAAATAGGGTTTTTTTCCCTTTTTTTAAACTAATAAACTTACCTGCCGAGAGCACAACAGTGTTTGGATACCAATTTTGCTTGTTTCTGACGTTTTGGCAAACTTGAGGAAATTTCACTGAAGTAACACAACGTTTGTGTGAGTTTTGTGTGTGTTTTGTGGGGTTTTGTATGTGTGTTGTGTGTTGTGGGGTGTTTTTGTGGTGTTTTCGGGTGTGAAACGGTGTGTGTTTTTGGGCGTTTTGTTGTGTGTGGGTGTTTTTGGGGGTTTTGTGGGTGGGTATTTGTATGAAAGATTTGTGTATTTTTAGGTGCGTTTCTTGGTTTGTGCATTCTTTGGTGCGGTTTGTATTTTTGCCCTCGGGTAAAACCTTTTTTAAATTTTTTTCCGGGGTGTATTTTTGTGGGGTTTTGGGTGGTGTGTGGTTTTGTGTGTTTTGTGTGGGGTGTGTGTGTGGGGTTGTGTGTTTGTGTGTGTGTGTGTGGGTGTGTGTTTTGTTGTGTGAAAAAGAGAGTTGTTTTAGGGGTTTTCCCCCGGGCTCCCGTGACCACCAGTGCCGGGTCTACGCGTTTTGTGTGTTTGTGCGAGGGAGAGGTGGCCCCCTGCTCTCACTGCAGACCTCACCCACACTGCCCCCCACACCCCCCACACCCCAACACACACACACACACAAAACACACACAACACCACACACCCCAAAAAAAAAAAAGTGCAAAGTAAAGAAAAATTGGGGAAGGGTAAAAAAGACCACAGACGGAGTACAGTCTAGGGGGACAGAGCTCCCAAAACCTAAACCCCAAGGGAAAAGGATTTTTGGTGTAAAATAACCCCGGGGAACATCTCCTGAGGCGCACTTCAACCAAAAAAACTGCGGCAGCATAGGGGGCCCCCTTTGGCAAACCTAAGAACGGGAAATTCCGACATCAAAATAGAAAGGACCATTCAGACCCTGTACAGTGGTCCTTTTGGGCCCCAAAAATTTTGGGAATATCCCCGGGGCCATTTTTTAAAACCCTCCCCCTAGCCAAGCAGTAAAAAACTAGAGAAAGTGCAAAGGTTTAAACAAGACTAGCCCCGGGAGCTTAGTGGAATTTTCCTACGAGGAGGGGTTAAAGGGGAAACCGACCTGACGACACTGGAAGACAGGAGAGATGGGGAAAAAGATAACACATATAAAAACTGAGAGGATAACAAGTTGGACAAGACGGGACGTTCCAGAGAGGGGACACAGCAAAAAAGGGCCACATTTGGAAGTTAAGGGACACAGATGAACCGGGGGTTTGAGGAAGTATTTCTTTAGTCACAGAGTTGTCGGGAAAGGGTGCAATAGCCTGGGTAGTGATTAGTGGAGGCAGGATCCATCCATAGCTTTAAGAAAAAGGTATGATAAAGCCCACGTAGGGGGAAAGAGTGACTGGGGAAAAGCGTCCAGCTGAAGAGGCGGGGCCCGGGGCTGTTTACCTTAGAGGGTTTTTCCAAGGGGGCAACCCCCCCCCGGCCCGGTTTTAAGACCAAAGGCCCCCATGGTGGATCAGGGGCCGATCAACCAGGGTGTTACGCTTGGGCCGCACGCAAACTGACGTACGAAAAAAAAAGCCCGGGTTGGGCAGGGAAAATGACTTTAGGGGCCCCCGGGCCCGTTCCTTCTTTAAGACAAACCAGGGGGGCATTTGGGAACCCCCTTATGTAGCTGTATGCCCGAATCGCCCCCCCAACCCCAAGTAGGGGATACAACAGGTGAGTTAAAAAACACACAAAACACACACAAACAAAAATTAGGTGAGTACGTAACCCCAAAAACAAAACACCCCACACCCAACACACACACACACATCACTGCATAAATGTTAATACTGGTACCCCAAAAACCCGCAAAACCAATTTCCCAAAATTTGAGTAAAATAGCAAGAGGAAGTGCAAGGAGTAAAGGGTAAAAGGGGGGAAAAACGTCCCCACACTTTAAACTGGGCAAGCTAAATTTTAAAAGCCTACTAAATTTCGAAAATTTTAAAATAGAATCGATAAGGGGTTTCAAGTATTTTGGGAAGCTTAAAAATTACTGGGATCTAAACCCATTTTTTTAGCAGTATAAAATTTGGGGGGTGGGGGGCCCCACACAACCTACACACAACCCCACACCCACAACACCAACACACACACCAAAACACACACACACACCCCCACACACACACCCAAAACACAACAAAAAACACACACACACGTAACCCCATATAAAAACAGGCCAAGTGTCTAATCCCCATGTGCCAAGGGCAAAATTTGGGGGCTAAAAACGGTCCCCAGGGGCCATGCTATTTCTGGGATATGTGAAAGACAGATTGGGAAAGGGGTTTAAAATCAGAAATGCCCTGTTCGCAGATGATGTGAAGTTTTAAAAAAGGGGGAATTAAAATCAGATGAGGATCAAGGGAGGGCTTTCAAAAGAACCTGGCCCGGCTGGAAAACCCCGGTTTCCCGCAACTGGCTTCTCGAATTTTAAAACCCCCCCAAATGCAAAGTCAAAGAAGAACGGGGAAGGGCACAGAAAAACCCCAAAACGGGGTTTTAAAGGGTAAGGGGCCTAAGGGCTCAAAAAAACCCCCACAAGGAGAAAGAACTTGGGGTGGGAAAACCCAGCATGTCTCCGGGAAAACAAAACATCAACCAGAAAAACTGCCCGCAGCAAATGGGCGCCTGGCAAACCTGGGAAAAAACCTTTGGAACCCGTACACATGGGACGTCAGGCCCCCACTGGATTTTCGCACCTGTTTTGGAAAACCCCACTTGATCAAGCAAAGCCCCAAAAAATTAAAAAAGGGGCAAAGGATTGGGGACAAGGGATTCCCGAGCAAAAGGGGAATGTCCGAAAGAAGGAAAAAGGGTTTAAAGGGGAAATTTGGCCTGACGACACGGGGGGACAGGAGGGGCAGGGGAAAACATGATAAAGCATATAAAATACGCGCGGAAAAAGACCCAAAGGGGGACAAAGCCCGGATGTTCCAGGAGGGGACACAGAAAAAAGGGGTCCAATTGGGGAAATTAAAACCCAATGAGTCAAAGGGAATTTAAAGAAAATTTTTTTTTCATAAGTTGTCAGGCAATGGGAAAAGGGCCCAGAAAGTGACGTAGTCCCCTTTTTAAAGGGTATCCCTACATAATTTTAAAACAGGGTTTTAAAAAGCTCATGGGCAGGAGAGGGGAAAACCCAGTACAACCATGAAGAGGCGGGGCCCGGAACTAAGACCGGGGCCCCCCCGCCAAAACCCCAACTAGGGGAGTGGGAAATAGGTGAGTAACACAAACACACAAAACACACACACACACACAACACACCCAACACACACCCCACACCCACACAAAACCCAAAAACACACACACACACACAACACACCCACAAAAACCCACACATACACACACACACAACACACACACATTTCACACACAAAAAACAAAACACCCCCACTAAAAACAATAAGTTTTTTCCCCGTAGCTACAAGCCACTCAAGACAAAATTTCCACTAGCATGCCCCTTTCACTCAAAACAAGGTTTCACTAGCATGGGCCCCCCCTCAAGACAAAGGTTTTACTACATGGCCCTCACTCAAGACAAGGTTTCACCCAACTGGCCCTGCCTCCCAAAGGGTTTCCCCTTTGCAAAGGGCCCCACTCAAACAAGGTTTCACTAACCCTGGCCCTGCACTCAAGACAAAGGGTTTTACTAACATGCCCTGCACCCCAAGACAAGGTTTTCCCCAGCATGGCCCTCCCTCAAGACAAGGTTTCACTAAACATGCCCACACTCAAACAAGGTTTTTACTAAATTGGGGCCCTTTTTCTCAAACAAGGTTTCACTAACAAGGGCCCTGCACTCAAGACAAAAGGTTTCACAACCCTGGCCCTCACCCAAAACAAGGTTTCACTAACAGGGCCCCCCACTCAAGGAATTTACAAAAATGGCCCGCACTCAAGACAAGGTTTTAAATAACCCTTGGCCCCGCAAATCAAGACAAGGTTTCACCCAACATGGGCCCCGCA